ATTATTTGTTTGCTTTAGATGTAGTGTGCTTTTCTAAAGCTTAAGAAAGGAAAACACTGTTTTCACCACATGGTACAACTGCATCTTTACATCACTGAGGCTGGACAATTGGAATCTGGTGTATTTTTTCAGATTGCTGTCATTTAACTGATTTTGCCCTCCTATAATTTCACTCCATTCTTTATAACTTTACTACAATACCACTGAGGAAAGCCGAAAAAGAATTATAATCGAACTACTGTAATCAAGATAAGAGTCAAAATACTATTGATCCATAGAATCAATATAATGGTTAAATCCATGGGTAGAAAAATCATTTCCAGTGCAAATAGTGTTCTTTATACAGAGCATCTTATTGCCTCAAAGGAAATCTAAAGTTTAATGTCAGCGTGTACTATATTATAATAATAAAAAGAATGAAACCTGCTGAAAGAAACATCATAAAATGGAACAGAGTTTAGTCTTAGTTTTAAAAATGGCTTAAGCATTAATCAAAGAGAATTTCTTATGGTGGTGTTGCAAAGTATAATTGTCAGTGAAAGTCAAATGAGGTTAAATTTTCATTTCTATCTCTTAATTGCATTCATTTAGATTGTAATAGGTGACTTGGTGGTGGAGACTGTTAATATAACATTAAGACTACTACAACACTCAGCATATAGTAGCTTGACTTTTTTATTACATGCTTGAGAAGCATATTTGTGGTATGGTAGAAAGAATAGTGTACAGCATCCCAATACTGGGGTTCTAGTCCTAACTCCAGTCTTGTGACCTTGAGTCATACCCTTTCATAAAATTATGCATCATGCCTTTTTTGCAGTGTTACTGTGAGGATAAAATGCAGTAATATATGTAAGAATTCTAAAAATCATAAACCTATATAACTTTAAGTAGAATGCTATATAATTTTATCATTCTTATCATAATACCACTATCTCAACCAAATCTCTTTGAACTTTTACCAGTAAGAAAGGTATTTCTGGCTGCATAATTTCATTTTATACTCCAGATTTTTGGAATACAGTGATATAAAAAATGTATTTGTTTATTTCGGTTGTGGTAAAAATTTGTAGCTTACTATCTTAACCCTTTTTAAGTGTACAGTTCAGTAACATAAGTACATTCAGTGTTGTGCCATTATCTCCACTACCCATTTCTAGAACTTGTTCATCATTTCAAACAGAAACTATATACCAATTAAACAGTAGCTCCCCATTCTGCCCTTCCACCAGTCCTTGCTAACCTTTGTTCTACTTTCCATTTTTTGAATTTGCCTAGTCTAAGTACCTCATATAAGTGGAATTATACAGTATTTGTCCTTTTATGTTAGACTTTTTTTAGCGTAATGTTTTTAATGTTCATTCATGTTATAGCATGAATCAGAATTTTGTTCCTTTTTAAGGCTGAATAATCCATTGTGTGTGTTTACCACATCAAAATACAGTTTTTTATTCATCTGTTGATGGACATTTGGATTGTTTCCATGTTTTGACTATTGTGATTAGTATTGCTATAAATACTGGTGTACAAGTATCTCTTTGAGTCCCTGATTTCAGTTTCTTTGGGTATATACCTAGAATAAGAACTGCTGGATCATATGGTAATTCTGTGTTTAACTTTTTGAAGAACCACCGAACTGTTTTCGCAAAATACAATGGTTTTTATAAGTCAGTATTCACTGCAGTTTTTCTCACCTTTGGGCCAGAAGTTTAAACAATTAAAGAATCAGGTTATGGTTTCAGATTGTTTTTTATTTAGGGCTTGTTGAGAAACAGGGAAGGCAGAATGTGGTTAGCTAATTTTTATTATTATTTTATAACATGTTATCCAGTAGGAATATTGAAAAGAAATTATAATTTATATCAATATTAAAATAGTACAAATATATGAACTACCAAACTGATGGCGGTGGAATCAAAATTAGGGAATTGGAATTTAGTGGCTTAGTTAATAAGATTCATAGATTATTCATTTGTGTGTTGTTTTAAACTATTTCATTGTGATTGTGACAGACTTTAATTCAATCTGGCTTTTTTCTACCATTTACCTGCCTTCCAGGCACACCCGTTTCATTCCCTCATCTGTTGATATATGTTTTAGATGCAGATTAGTTTTGATATAATTAATAAAAGCATTCATTTAGAGGGTTTGATTGAAAAAATTTTTTGTTTTATTATCTTTATTGCTATGTGACTCTCTGCATGGATCATTGAGAACTGATTTTATATATGGTTTTAATACAATTTAAGTCAATACTAAGAATAATGTTCTGTGTATATATAAAACAATTTTTTATTATGAAATCAGTATCAAGGTTGGAAGGAGGAGCCTATCTCAAGTTTCTTAAATTCTCTCTGTTATAACTTCGCTCTAAGGTTGCTATCTGCTTAGACACTTTAAGTGATGTAAAACTGTTTTGGGGGAGGGAAGGGAGTGTGGCATAGATTGTTCTTATATTGAACTTAAATGTCTTTCTGAAACTTGTGTCCCCTTCCCTATCCTTTTTTGCCATATGGAATACTAATGCTCTTGCTTATAATAATTTTAGGATATAACAGTTTTGAGGAATAATCAATCCTGAAAGATAAATATATTAAGCCCTTGGACAATTATTATTTGGTCTGCTTAATAAAGATGCTCTTTTAGAGATAGTATTTATTTAGTAAATTATAAGTACATATAATGATAAATTAATGATTTTTCAAAATACTGTGATCCTTTAAAAACACACATATATGATCAAGAATTTCCTATAGTTGGCAGAAGTAGTTTTATGAAAAGACAGAATGTACCACAAGAATTCAGGCAGGATTCCTGTTTGTTTAGGAAAGACTATTTTTAAATTTGTGGAGTTTCCGTTTAGATGATGTGTTTGACTTTGTTGATTACTTCCTGCAATAGATTGGAACCTGAAGGCTCTGACGATGCTTTTCCTAGCCTGGAGTCCTGTCACAGCACCTAGGAACCCTAGGGGTTTTTTGGTGAGAGTTTTAGTCAAGTAGAATATGAATACAGCCTCAAAATAAAAGGGTGCCAAATTGACATGAAGTTAGGGAATATATAAAATAGACAGTGTTAAAAAAGGAACACACTTTCTGAACCTAATGAGTATACTCTGTTGACCCCTGTTCACTTGGAAAATTAGTTTTTTTTGCATTGTTTTGTTTAAAATCAACTTTATTGAAGTATAATTTACATAAAATAAAATATAGTCATTTCAAGTGTATAGTTTGACTAATGTATATACTTTTGTAATCATTATTCAAATCAACATGTAGAATATTTCCGTTGTAGCAATAAGTTCCTTCATACCTCTTTGCTCTTAGTCTCTCTCCCCGAGGCAACCACTGCCTGCTTTCTGTCACTATAGATAGGTTTTACCTATTCTAAGCTTATATATGTATGGAATTATACTGTTTTTCTTCTTTTGTATCTTTACAAAAGTATAGTAGTATGATCTTTTTATTGCTGGTATGAAAATTTATTGTATGAATAAGCCGTGATCTCTTTATCTCTATACTAGTTGATATTTAGGTTATTCAGTTTTGGGCTATTGTGAATAAAGCTGCTATGGACATTTGTGTCCAAGTGTTTGTTTGGGCATATGTTTTATGTTTTCATTTCTTTTGGAGTGGAATTCTGAGTCAGGATTTCTCTATATTTAACTTTACAAAAAACTGCCAGTTTTCCAAAGTAATTGCACCATTTTGTACTTCCACCCGCAATGCGTGAGAGTTCCAGTATTCCACATCCTGTTAACATTTGGTAGTTGGCTAATTAAAAACTGGGTCAGGTTCATTGATAGAAATTGTGTTATGCAGACTTTTATAGAAATTATAAAAGACACTTGATATACTTTAAAAAAAAATTATGTCTTTATTGATTTCAGAAAGAGGAAGTGAGAAGGAGAGAGATAGAAACATCAGTGATTAGAGTCATTGATTGGCTGCCTCCTGCACGCCCCCTATTGGAGATTGAGCTCACAACCTGGGCATGTGCCCTGACTGAGAACTGAACCTCGATCTCCTGGATCGGAGGTTGATACTCAACCACTGAGCCACACCAGCCGGGCAATACTTGATGTATTTTAAAAATTTAGTAATGATAGCTCATTTGGTACAGTTTTTTATATATCTCCTATGTGCCAGATGCTGTGTTAATGAGTTTACTATAATTATAATTAGAAAATTATAATTTCTAATCCTTAAAACAGTTCTGTAAGATAGAATGTATTATCTTCGTTTCATAGACAGGAGTCCTGACCAGTAAATTTTAAGCTTAAAGTTTGATTCCAAGTAATTCTAAACCCTAGATTCTTTATTTAATTTCACTTCAACATTTTTGTCATTCCCTCTCTTTTGTAGAGATAGAATGAGTATGATTTCAGCTAATATCGTGGTCTTTTAGGGTTCCCAAATTGATCTGAGAAAGGTCCAAAGATAATTAGAAGAGTTAGAAGCCCTTGGAAAAATTAAGGATTGACGCGTGTGTGTGTGTGTGTGTGTGTGTGTGTGTGTGTGTAAATGAAAGGGCATGTATCTCTCAGATGTTAAATATCTAATGGAGGTGCCATTTTCCTGTGTATTATCTTCTTTGAGCTGTGAAAAGTAGGGGAAAATGTCAAAGCTGCAGAATTACTTGAGAGGGAAGACAGGTAGTGGTAATAGTGGTTTCTGTACTTGGGTACAGAAACTTGTTTCTTATTTCTAAGCAAAGTAGTTGCTGTTAGAATGATCTTGTTTTACCATGTAGGAATCAGCCCATTGGCATTTATTTTAAAATATATCCTAGACAATTACTGCTTAATTGTATGTAATTTAGAGTTGTGTCACAGCTACTAGGTTGAATTTTAGAACAGAATTTTTGTAAGAAAATTTTGGTAAGTATATTTTCCAAATAGACAAATTGTGTGAAACAGCCCACATTTTGCAGACTTTTTAATAACTTTAAAATTTCAATCTTTTAAATTTCATTTTTCCTTTTCCCATCCCATTTTGCAGACATTTCAACCTGCGAATGAAGAGGGACACTTCCCTTTTTAGTGATGAATTTAAAGTAGAAATATCAAATAAAGTACTTGATTATGATCCCTCTCATATTTACACTGGACATATTTATGGTAAGTTGAATCTTAAAAGAACCCTTTTCTTTAAATTTTTTTCTACACAAGGGAATATAGTTGTTGAAGCATAGGCAAATATTTCAGAAAAGATGGGATAAATTCTGAGGATATTTAAATATATCATGAAGATTATAGTTGTCTTTGAAGAATGAAATAATCCTTGGATCTATCTTTACATGTTTGTATAATGTTGAATTATGCAGTGTTTGGCTTCTGAAAGGTATGAATTTTTGACTCTCTCAGTACCTCCAAACTTAGGTTAAAAAAATATTTTAATGACTTCTATAACTTTCTTTTTTTTAAAAAAAAATATCTTTATTGATTTCAGAGAGAGGAAAGGGGAGGGAGAGAGAGATAGAAACATCAATGATGAGAGAGTCATTGATCGAGCCCGCAACCCGGGCATATGCCCTGACCGGGAATTGAACCCTGATCTCCTGGATCCTAGGTTGACGCTCAACCGCTGAACCACGTCCGGCTGGGCGACTTCTGTAATTTTCTGATCATCCAAACAAGAAAATAGCAGTAGCTTTGCTGTGTTTTAGAAGAGGAAAAATCTAAAAGGAAACTGTAAAGATCATCTTAATAGCCAAAAATACTGTGACAGTCATTGATAGGAGAATCGTCCTAGGCCCTTCCTTCTTCAGAATCTATTTACTTTTGTTTATAATTCTAACTAATTTCTCTTACTATACCAGATTATAAAGATATTGGATACACATATTTAACCCAATAGAAAGTTGCATTTGACAGCTTAGTAGTTTGAGAAGAATAATTATAGAAGTCATAAAAAGGTTCAAAAGTCAGTCGTCTTTGTGTTAAAACTCTGTGCATTAATAAATACTCAAGGTGATCCTTGGTTTTTAAGACAAAGTTAACTGAAAGTTAAATTTTATTTATACATATTAGAGAGATTTCCACTCAAAATTATAACACGAAAAATTAAGTGTTTAAAGAAATGTTTTTTATTTTCTCATTATGCCAGATACATGAGGCATTTCTATGCTTAAAGTTTCTCACTTGTAGATTAAACCTAGTTAATAAAAGTTTTTTAAAAACTTTATCTTTATTGTTGAAAGGACTGCAGATATCCTCTTTTCCCCCCCAATGACTCCTTCTTTCCGGAGCCCCATGCCTCCTGGCCTTCACTACCCTATTGTCTATGTCCATGGGTTATCCATTTATGCATGTAAGTGCTTTGGTTAATCTCTCCCCACCCCTGCCTTCCCTTTGAGGTTCGTCAGTCTGTTCCGTGCTTCTATGTCTTTGGATCTATTTTGTTGATCAGTTTATTTTGTTCTTAGATTCCACATATGAATGAGTGAGATTATGTGATACTTGTCTTTCTGACTGGCTTATTTCACTTAGCATAATACTCTCTAGGTTTCTCCATGCTGTCTCAAAGGAATAACAGGTTTATTTTGGTATTCTTATTCCATGTGACCAAAGGAAAGTGTTTTTACATCAGTCTAGGTTTTTAATGTTAGACTACAGTTTTCTGTTATTTTTTTATTATTTATCTTTCTGGACAAGTAACTTGTAGTTTCTGCCGTTTTTTTGCTAAGCAATGGTCAGGAAAAGTATAAGACTGAATTTGTAGCTAAAAACCTTGTCATTTTTTTTTTTTTTTTTTAATACATCCTTATTGATTTCAGAGAGAGGAAAGGAGAGGGAGAGAGAGATAGAAACATCAATGATGAGAGAGCCATTGATCAGCTGCAACCCGCAACCCAGGCATGTGCCCTGACCGGGAATCGAACCCTGATTGCCTGGATCCTAGGTCGACGCTCAACCACTGAGCCACTCCTGGCTGGGCAAAAACCTTGTCATTTAAAATACGAATGTCTTGGGATTTTAGCTTCAGTTCATGATTACTTCAGAGTCAACTAATTAATTTTAATCTATAACTTAGAAATTGTGGATGGCCTGATTTTTGTTTTAATGATAAAATTTTAAGTAAATTTAACTTTTAAATCCCCCTCCTTCTACCTTCCATTTCTTCAAATCATTTTATGTTTAGTGCTCAGCTTTCCTTTGTGACTATGTTAAGAACCCCAAATACCTTTTTTTCTGTTATGTTCTTTCTTATTAGAGAAGTATAATTGATGACACAGTATTATAAATCTTTGTCCAGTATCATAAAAGACATTGTTAGTATACATTTGTTTAGATTGCTTTTGAAATATTTGACACTACCTTATTTAAAAAATATATTTATAAAACCTAAAGGTGGTAAGAAAGCCACAAGGCTCATGCAGAATATATCAGGTTGGAAACGAACTTTTTTCATATAGTAATTAGAGCAAAATTTCAAAAGAGACTTTAATATCTTTATTTTGAAAGTGTTTATTTCATCAGTGGGTCTGTTACCTCTTTCTGAGTTAATTGAACAGTTATTTATTGATAAACTACTGCATGCATGCCAGACACTGTGCCATGTGGTGGGAATATGAATGTCAATAAAACAGATGTTCTGTTTCATTGTTGTTACTAATAATTGTGTATGTTTTAACTAAGTACTAGTTGTTGTTCACATCTTAAATTCAGGTTGATATATTTTATGTTAAAATTAATTTTCCCAGTAAATTTTTATTTAGGTTTTTAAAAATATATGTAAGAATAGCTTTTTAAAGAAAAATGAATTTAACATTCACATGCAAATTAAAATTGCAAGAATTTGTTGCTTTCATTAACAGGTGAAGAAGGAAGTTTTAGCCATGGGTCTGTTATTGATGGAAGATTTGAAGGTTTCATCCAGACTCATAGTGGCACATTTTATGTTGAGCCAGCAGAGAGATATATTAAAGACCGAACTCTGCCATTTCACTCTGTCATTTATCATGAAGATGATATTAGTAAGTATATTTAACTTTTATCAAGTAGCCTTTTGCAGAAAGGCATATAAATAGTTAAAACTATGTGGAGACAAATGGAGCTTGAGCTGTTTTCTTTCCTGTTCTATTAATCAGGTAAGAAAATAGTTTCACAACCAAAGTCTCAATTTAATGAATAATAGATATATAGTACAGTGAGGCAATTTCCTTACCAATGCATTCCAGTCCTACTTTGTTGATATGATACAACCAATTCTATTTGAACTGTAAGTGAACCACCTATTATTGAACTGGAAATCCTATATTCTGATATTAGCCAGTCATTTAATGCTATAATGCTTTTGTATGTATGGCCTTACAGAAGCATCATTATCTTATGTAAATTTCAGTGTGGATATTTGTATAGTGATTAAGAAATATTTTAGGTATTTTTGTAGTTTCTAAGTCCTTTGAGCATTTCTTTTGGGAATCTTGAAATAATGACTTCAGTTTGGTAAGGCTTTAGATTTATCATTATGGATTTTGTCTTTTACCATGGTCTTTATATGATGGTGATTTGTTGGGAGAGTTCTTTTTCTGTGTTTTAAGAGTAGAAAATGTATTTAGATTTCACCTTTTAATTTCTACCAATGTCCATAAATCTATAACCATCTAACCATGAGAATGCTCTAATGAAATACCACAGAAATTCATTCTTCTAATTATATGCCTTTTGAGTACTCATATTTTAGTTTTGACTGTAATTAGACTAGTCTCTCAATTTTTGCCTACTTTTTTTTTTTTTTTTTAACTTGGCAGCTTTCTCCTGGTTTCATTTTCCTTCCTGTAGCCAGAAATTTATTGTCAATATTCTCATCCCTAGGAATGTACTGGAAAGCCTTATCATTTTGACTTTTTGCTCTATCATCTATGATTGTCTAAATGCTTGTTTTTTTCTGATACTCTATTACTGTAGAAAATAGCATAATTATTCTAGATGGGATACATTTAGGATTTTAGCTGCTTGCTAAATCATAGATTTATTAATGCTACTTGCCCACATTTTTTTTAATCCTTACCCAAGGATTTTTTTAAATTTTTATTGATTTGAGAGAGAGAGAGAGAAAGAAAGAAACATCCCCCTAACTGGGGATTGAACCTGCAACCTGAGTATGTGCCCTACTCTGACCAGGAATTGAACCTGTTACCTTTTGGTGCATGGGATGATGTTCTAACCAACTGAACCATATTGGGTAGGGCCAACTTGCCCACATTTTTACTCATCCTTTTTTGATTCCTTTTCCATCTTTCTCTCCTGGTATTTCAAACTCTCCTCAGTGTCTAAGCTATAGTCCTCCTTCACAAGTAGGACTGTGAATTTTTTTGCCTCCTTACTTTCTGCTAACAGAATTATTATCTCTTTTATTTGTATGTTACTTTGTAATTTTTTTAGTAATTTAATCTTTTTGCAGATTTATCTTCCCTGTCCAGTCTATGTAAGTTCTCCAACTGCAGTTTCTGTTTCTTTTGCTTCTTTAACATTCCAAATATTACTTATGTTTGGAGCAGATTCTTCACAGATACATAATGAAATCTTGAAACATTTTCTCTCTAGCGTTTTCTTAAAATTAAATAGGCCTTTTAGGAAAGGAAGGAGAGGAAAAGATTAGTTTGAAAGATTTCAAACACATTTTTATCTTCCCATCATATCATAATCAAATTTCATTCTTTGCTTTACACCTCTCATAAGTGCCCTCCACTGTTTTTGCTGTCTTTTATGATTTCTTTTACTACACCTTCTCTCTCCTCTTCTCTCCTTGTATGTATAGTAGTTTCAGCATATTTTGCTCTTTTCCCCCACTTTTATTTCTTTCTCATCATATAATTGCATTTCCCCACTTTTCATCTTACAGTCTTTCAAATATTTTCCTTTATGCCAACCTTTCTTTTTTCCCAAAGATAATGAGTTAGCTTGGAGGATCAGTGACATTGAATGCAACTTTGTTTTCTATTCCTTTTGGCATTTAACTTTACCATTGATTTCAGCTCTTAATTTTTATTTGTCCAAGTATATATTCAAGGTCAGGAGGCCGTTTCACATTCTTTTTATTGTTATATACCAATTGTGGTATTAGAGCTTAAAAATAGTATTGATTAGAGTGGTTTCATTTCTAACTTTTTCTGGTAAATGGAAATGTAACAATTTGAGGATGAGGGTATGGGAAGGAATTGCATTAAACAGTTTTTAATTCTTACAAATTAAGACGATTACTTTTGAGAAACAATTTGAAAATTGGTGAAGTATCCATGGTTTAAGAAAATCATCCATGTGTTAACCTTTTCATTTCTAAATAGTTGCTATATTCTAGATTCTAGACCAAGGGCTGACGAACCTTTTCTGTAAAGGGCCAGACAGTAAATATTTTTGGCTTTCTGGGCCATATTAGCTCAATTGCAACCACTCGGTTTTGCCATTGTAGTATGAAAACAGCTGTAGAAAATATGTGAATGAGTGAGTGTGGCAGTGTTCCAATAAAACTTTAGTTATATATACTTAAATTCAAATTTCATATAATTTTACATGACACAAAACATTATTTCTTTAAATTTTTCAACCATTTAAAAATATAAAAGCTATCCTTAACTTGCACTCCAAACAAAAGAACTCACTTGTCCAGCAGACTGTAGTTTGCCTACCCCTCTTCTTAGAGGATAGATAGATAAAAGCTACTTTTAATTGGTCCTTTAACCTTTCTGTGTAGAATATCTAAGCTCTAATAGTAATAGTATTAATAAGCGTAGCTGTTACTATTTAATGTGTACCTGGCAGTATATAAAATTCTTTACCTGAAATTTTTCATTTAATCTTCACAATAACCTTTTGAGGTATAGGCACACATATTGTCCCTACTCTATAGATGAGGAAACTAATTAGAAAACTTGTCACTTAATTGTGGATCTCGTGTTTTTAACCATGTGCTCTTATGCTTCACTTATGGAAGAACGCTATAAATTCACATCGCCATCACTCCACAGATTTATAGGGCTTTTCTGAAATTTGTGAGCCTCTCTAAAATCATACATGTATATCTGTTGTTTTAAGCCAAATTCTCCCAATATATTTAGCAGTGGGTGTTTTACTTTACAACAAATTCAGAGATAGAGGATGTCTCTTTAATGTATATTATTGTTTTCATGTAATTTGCTTAAGTGCCAATAATTTATTATCTCAATTAAAGTAATGCATTATTGTTCAGATCATTGTATATACATGCGTGAGTATATTTGGTGTCTCCCTGTATGTGTTATTTTCAACCAAAGCAAAGCACAGCAACCATTGGTAGAAGTTCTGCTGAGAATTAGGCTGCATTCCTTTTAATACTGTTTTTGCAACTGGAGGCATAAATGTATGAAAGCACCATGGAAAAGGATATTGCTGTTCTGGAGAGTTGTAAGAAATGCTTTCTGAGGCTGTACCAGAGCACAGAGACAGTTTTCAGTGAAAATATTTAATAACTTCTCTAGGCGCTTTGATACCTAGTAAGATGTGATGGTGGTAACTACATGTAGTTATTAGCTTAAAATTCCCACTTATTCAGTTCTGTACTTAGGTAGTAAATAGCACTCTCTGCTAGGACATAGAAGTGTGAACAGTTATGACAAGGTAAGAAGAATACAACTTAATCCTCTGCCCCTTGGCAGTTTATTTTAAAGAAACTGGGAAAAACATTGCCCCATGAACTATACTGTTAATCTTATTAATTTAGGGCATTAATTTAATTAATTTTAGGATTAATTAAATTGTACCCTCTTGTGTACTACCTCTCTGAGAGGGCAAAGATTTTTTCCATGCTGTACTTATATAGAAATATTTCATCTCTGAATTAAAAAATATTTTAAGTAAATATATGAAGCTAAATAAGAGTGTTTGGGTTTATTCTTTTTGTTTCAAATTTATTTTCCTGTGTGTGGTATAGAAAAGCCCAGAGAGCTTGAATTAGCAGGGCACTTCTACTTTCAGCATGTGTGTTAGCTGTGACTATACTTATTGCTTCTTTCCCTTGTGCTTCAATTGTCAAGACCCATTATTTCTTAATTTGAAAAGTTAAGATTGTTAAACTTGAACCATTTCAAGGTGAAGGCTTCATTCATGTAGAAGCCACCTTATTTGTGGAAACTTGAGGATATTGTATCTAAAAACTTTACAGAATCAATTAGTTTCATATTGTATTTTTGAAGCTGTTGACTTAAATGACTTTTGTCACAGTCACTAAGACTTCCAGTTCTTTTTGTGGCCCTATTAGTGGGAAGGAGGGACAAAGGAAAGAAGGAAGAGTTGAGAATTGGAAAGTATTAATAATGGTTAGCATCGTTCAAATCTCAAGCTACCTCTTAGTGCACGGGACAACACTCAACCAGCTCATCCACACCAACCAGGGTACACTATGTACTCTTTAAAAATTCTAGCTTCGCCGGGCCGGGCGTGGCTCAGAGGTTGAGCATCGACCTAGGATCCAGGCGATCAAGGTTTGATTACCAGTCAGGGCACATGCCCGGGTTGTGGGCTAGATCCCCAGTCGGGGGCATGCAGGAGGCAGCCGATCAATGACTCTCTCATCATTGATGTTTCTATCTCTCTCCCTTCCTCTCCTTTCCTCTCTCTGAAATCAATAAAGATATATTTAAAAAATAAATAAATAAAAATTCTGGCTTCTTAGCACAATTGTTTCGATATTCATTTATGTCATTGTGTGTGTTAATAGTTTATTCCTTTTTATTGATGAGTAATATTCCATTGTATGGATACTATAATCTGTTTTTGTATTCTCCTGTTCATGGACATTTGGATTGTTTCCAGTTTTGGATTATTACAAACAAAATTACTATAAAGTGTTTTTGTTTTTTTAATGTCTTTAATGATTTCAGAGAGAGGAAGGGAGAGGGGGGGAGAGAGAGATAGAAACATCAGTGATGAGAGAGTTATTGATCTGCACCCTCCTGCACACCCCCTGCAGGGGATTGAGCCCGAAACCCAAGCATGT